GCGTCAATAGGGAAAATTCAACCGTAACGTTTCGAAGGACAAAACTATTGTTCCCTTGTGAACGTGGGCCATCTCCTTCGTCTTTTTGTAATACACAACGCAGCGATTCTTTGTCTCTCTCTTTCTTCCTTCTACCTACAAAGCGGAAAAGAAAGAAAGCAAGAAAAGGGAGTAGCTAAATAAAAGTACAAAGAAAAGAGCATTGTTCACGAGGTAATCATGTCTTATTTACAATCCTAACTCGCGTAAAAGAGAACAATGTCGTATTAAGTCTAATTTCACCTTTAATTCTAGAAAATAGTAGAAAAATTGAGTATAGGCAGTAATTCTAACCTGGCACGCCAAAGTTTCTACATAGAAATCTTGAAACGGTTTATTTAAGTAGTTAAAAGGTAGTAGATAAAAGAATTGCTTTTAAATCCAAAACAGGAGGTCAAAGAAGGCAGACAAAACACCCGTCACCAGTATTACTAAACATAATTTGTTTTCACATCATTTCTTTCAAATTTTAATGTTGTTTTTCTTACACCAACCTTTTGCACACGACTTCACATGTCCCGTGACCTTGCGGCTTGAAGGATCTGTTACAATCTAGACAAGTGTAGGTGTTGTTTGCATCTTTCACTAACACTTCCGTTACCTTCCGTTGTCCTGCTCCACGATCCTTAGCTGATTCTTCTACTCGCCTCCTCTCCGCACGATCTTTAAGTTCACGAATTATTTCTTTGATGTTTCTCTGTACCGAGGTAACCTTCATACGTTTGTTGATTAGCTCACGCCACATTTTTTCTGTTTCTTCAGTTTCTAATCTCGAACTTCTCAAGATCATCCATAGTTTTAGCCTCCCACTGTTTCCGAATGCCACTGTTACCAGGACGTTTGTCTTCCGGGAGGTAAGAGAACATTATCTTCACCAATGGTGCTTCATTATTCTCATTCTCCATCCTGTTGGCGTGTCCAAACCATTAACCTATTCCTTCTCATTATATTTTCAATTGTGGGCTGGCCAGATAACTGTAAGATTCTTTGGTTTGAAACACGATCTCCCAAGTTTAAACCTAGCACCAGTCTCAGGCACTTCATATAGAATATGTTGAATAAATCGACTGGTACCAGATTTTTAGGAGACTGACAATCGCGACCACCCTCAACACAATTGACTGAAATAGCTACTATATGCTTGTTACCTATAAGCGTCTCGTCCATATTAAGTCGAAATGTTATCTGAGGTAACTGATGAAGATTTGGATTTTTGCGTTGAGCTATAAATACTGCAGTTTTTATCGCATACTCAAACTGCACCTAAGCCCCGTCGGTTACATCAAATATAGGAAATTTTTGATTAACCTCCTTTCTCATTTTACGAACGTAGTGAATTGAAAAAAACTTCTTATGTTTCTTGAAAAATTGATCTATTGCATCAAGTCCTTTGTCACTGATATTATGCTCATCTTTCAAATGTAAATGTTCACGTTTAATTTTTTCGTTCTCTGTAGCTCTGAGGTGACAATAAACATTTAGGGCTTTTATTGTGAATTCTATAACTTTGCAAAGAAAGATCATATAGAGCTGGGAGATGTCTCATTTTAATCAGAATTTCGCGGGCTACAGTTGTGACTCATATAAGTTTCATATATATATTCATTTTCAGATCTCATATAATGCGATATAATTGTTACCATTTCTCTAACATCCATAATATTAGGAGCAGACAAAAAAGAACCGCACGCTTTCTCAATAAACGATGAAGTAAAGGTTGCCTCAATCGAAGAATTATTGGCAGAATACAAAGTAAGAATGTCATCTAAGCCTGGACAGAGCACTCTTCGTACTAAGAGATATTTGTTTAAGTGAATATATTTGTCAAAAATAGTCGTATTGCTCGGGTCACAAGATGTTGTAAGATTCACATATTCTGAAACAGCAGCAAGTGCGTGTATAAAACGAAGGAAAAATGTAAAATCGTTGTGCTGACGAAGAGCATTTAGAGCTGCAACACTGTCCTGTCCACAAGACGTTAAGAATAACAACTAAAATATTGATAATTTGCTTTTACCATTAAACAATTATTTTCATAAGCAAACGATACTCTTTCGGGTTCGAGAGAACCTGTAGATCCTCCGTCCTTTCTGTTCATTAAATTTACGTCGATTGTTCTGAGAAGAGAAATTCTTATTGAAACAATTTTCGATCGACATTCGACAAAATATCTTACAAAGTCTGATAATTTTTCTCAATAAGTTCGATCTCTCTTTGGTGACGGTTTTTTAAACAAAGGCCCCAATTTCATTTCCGACTAATCAATTAAGACTGGAGAATATTCAATTTGAATTTTAGCTCTCAAATGATGAACATTGGTTTGACGAAGCGACGAATTCGATTGTTCGAATTCAAATAAACACTACTTGTCAAATTCCGATTCCGTCGGAATTCGCTTCTCTCGACAACTCTACAAATGATTCTACTGACAGCTGTATCGAGAACTCTCGCGACAACTAGGTTGACAGTATGTACAATGATAAAAAGCTCTAGCGAGTTATTACGCAAATGTCGAGAGACGTATCGAGAGAGCTGTCGAGACAGATGTTAAGAGCGTTGTTGAGGCGGATTTGAAGAGAGTTATTGAAAGAACTGTCTAGAGAAAATTTGAGTTCTCCGTGGGGGATTTGCACCCTACTCGACAGATTATGATTCCATCGGACTTTGGGAGAAAACCCTCTCTTTTCCGAGTTTCTGTAGAATGGCTGAACGAAAATTCTGAAACTTTCAGCCCAAATTGATCTAGACCACTAGAGCAAAAGTCATGCCAGATTAAATTATCTGCAATGCTTCGTTCAGAAGGATCTAGGCGGCTGAAGTAGTCAAAATGGGCAAACTCCCATTATGTCTCCCACTTCTATCAGAATACACTCACTGAAACTTTTTTGTCAAACATTTGGGACAACTTGACAGTTCTCGTTTTAAACTGCTTCTTGAGCCAGTTTTCGAGGCAAGAAAATTGAAATAAGAAAGAACCCTCGAAAACCGCATGATTTTGTTAGATAGGAGATCTCTAATGTCGATCTTTTTTCTGTTGAGAGCACTCTGACTCTCTCGACAACTCTTTCTAAAGTGCCTATCGACAGCCCTATACCCAGTCTAAGACATCATTTTCTTTTTCAGCGATAAATTCTCGAATAGATCCGCTCAAAGAAATGCCTGTTGACATACTAGCATCGTATGCGCAACTGTAGCTATGTATATATGACAGTGAGAAAAGTGTCCTAGGACCCTTGACATTAGAAATACTTTCTGTAAAGCAGTAAAAGATCGGCGGCTTATTCCACGGTGAGGATCTTATGATCAATGTTTCTCAACTAGCCACTACGATAGATATACCATGCAATACAGAATTTCACGAGCTTTAAGATGAGCTACACCGCACGTACCAAAAAATAATTCTGGATCCGCCACTGAAAGGAAGCATTTTCAAGAGAAAGTGTGGGTACGAAAGTTGTTCAGAATCAGATTCTCTGGAATGTGAACGAAGGATTTTTTGAAAATTCGTTAAACCGGATTTTAATTTAATAAAATTTTACTAAATTTTAAAATTTCAAAATGCGTTTTAAAATTTTGAATAAAAATTAAAAGTTTCAATTTAAAACTCGAGTTTAATGAATTTTGCAAAATCCTTTGTTCATATTCCAGAGAATCTGATTCTGAACAACTTTCGTACCCGCACTTTTCCTTGAAAATGCTTCCTTCATGCGAAATTTGGTTCATGGTGTTTTTAAAAATACTTCTTGCTCCAAAATGCCATCGGACAGATCCAAGTGGAATAACTCGCTTGACTGAAAGCTTGACCGAATTTTTTGTAGATACACCTTGATGTCTTCTATCGATTGACATCAAAATCGAGGTTATATATGGAAATCTGAAACTTTTATTAAACTTTTAAAACTGGAGCAAAAAACCAAGACTAAACTTAAAAACTTATTTTCTGGAAAACTACAGGTCCGACACCCGGAAAAAGTATTGAAATATATACTTAAAAGTGTCCTCTACAAACTGGTAGGGAAAACCGAGTGGAAGGACCTCCTGCTTGTAGTTTTGTAAAGATAATATTATAAAGAGTCACAATTATATTTCTAGAATTACCAAGATTTAGACCAAAACTAAAAAAATTTATTTTATTCAGTATGGCAGTCCATGATCCTAGACTCATAGTGGCACCGTCCATGGTCCTAGGACATTTCAGAAATTTTGTATCCGTTCTGAAATGTGCTTTTTACCTCTCTTGATACGACGTCATCCGAACATAGATAATTCTATTTTCCCCTCAAACCAACAAGCCATGCATTACTAATTTTTCATTTAAAAATTAAATTATACGCTTCTTTATGCAAACTTTGGCTTAAGATAATATTAAAGTGAAAACTTTTTTATATTAGTTCGTTTGCAAGCTTGAATGCTAACGATCTAGGTTAGAAACAAATATAATTTAATTTTTGCAGAACATTCTAATAATGCATTGAAACCATGCATAGGTGTGTTCATAGAACGGAAGAGAATTCTTTAGACCCTATCGAACAATGATACAACAATGGCTTCTCGCTTGACTATTTTCCCTATCCAGCAGAAATCGGATACACTGCTATTGTAGTTTAATATTTAATGTTCTTTCTAGGTGTATGATAGACTTCTTTATGTAGAGCAAATATATTGGAATAAGACATTACCGTGTTGTAAAGTGAAAATACATGTGTATTTGATATTTAAGTTTGTAAAAGAGCTGCATTTAATATAAAAAGGAAGCAAACATAAAATAGTTCGCACATAATTATGTCGACCTTCACAACTTTATTAAATGAAATATCTCGCCAATTAACTATCTATGCTGGATTATTTCTATTTACACTTGGTACAGCTGGTTCACTACTAAACATTTATATATTTTCATCAAAAAAGTCATTTCGATCAAATTCATGTGCAATGTTTTTACTTTGTGCATCTATCTACGATTTACTATATTTATTCAATGCAGTATTACCACGAATATTAACTGCTTTTAGCATTGATCCAACAACGACATCAAGGGTTTATTGTAAATTAAAATTTTATTTTACATTACAATTTTCATTAGCATCAAATACATTTATTCTTTTCGGTTTTAAATTTTGAACAAAATAATCTTTTATTCGTCGTACGCCAAGGTCTCCTAAACAGTCGAACAAAATGTTCGGAATCCAATGAACTACATATAATCGACTCCACTGATTATGATTTGTCATCCCAGAATTTCATAAAACTACTTTATTTGCTGAAAACAAAAACTTTTTCAAAAGTGACGTGTGCTGTGCATCTTAAAGCAATAAGTCCACATCGGTCAAGAAAGCGAACTCTCATTAGTAATCATTCAAATGTGGACAAGAAAAGTTGTCCCTTTTACCACTCCCATACACCGTTAGAACTTCAGTTTATGATTTATTGTTTTTAATTGTGTTGATTCAAATAGCTGCTGTTATTAATGAATAAATATTTTTCGAATTTCACGTGATGATATAAAATAAATATAAAATCTACAAGCATTATTAAGGTAGAGTAGAAGACGAACAATTGTGGTAAATAAATTTTCTTGTGCCATACGTAGTAAATCTTTTTCTACATACATTGTAATGCTTGAATAGATTACTTGTACCGCATTTGGTGTGACGAATAAAGTTGCAGTACACATTTGTAATAGTAACATTGTCGTCAATTGATTTTCAATACGTTGACGAATACTAATCCCACCTTGGCCAGTGA